TTTTTTCTCTCTTTCTTTTCTCTATTCAGATTTGAACCACTTCCTCTCATAATTCAAATCCCTAATTTCCATTTTCTTACCACATGAATATTCTAKGACTTTTCTGCTTATTTATATATGTGTTTGCATATGTTTGTGCTAGGTCGTTYCATTTTGTCAATAACACTGTTTTGTGTCCATTGTTCCAAACATGATTTTCCCACACCTAGAGATAAAATGGAAAGGTAGTGAGTTTTGAGTCAGCTGTGGCAGAGTTCAAACCCCCTAAAGATGAGGTATGTAGCAATTTGGTCTAATCCTCAAGCTACAAGCCCCACACCAACACCAAGGTTCTCAAGGTTTTTGGGAAGGGTGGACTGGATGTGGACCCAACTGTTGGCATTTTTCCCACAAATTGGCTGCTTTTAGATTTGAACCATGTTCTTACACTTGCCAAAATGAGGTTTTACCATTGTGTCAAAGCAATGGCCAGCAAAGCTCTCTATAAAGCTATTCAAATTAAATATTAATTGTTCAGGTGCAATTTGGGTGTTGTTTTGCTGCATCACATCTGACACGTTTGTTATATGTTAGAAAATTTGTCTATTCTTTGCAGTATATTTTTGTTAAGATGCCCATGCATATATCTGGCACAAAATGTAGCTACATGCTTTAATTCTTTTCCCCCTCTCTTGTCCTTTTTTATGGTAGGCTTGCATGATCAAAGCCTTGAAAGGTTGTCCAACAAAGAGTAAAGCTCATGTTGATGCTGATAAGATGGCTGTACTGAATGCGTGGCAAAGAGTAGATTTTCGAACAAGAGAGGCACTTAGGCGCAGCTTCCTTTCAGAACTTATTGAGAGCTATGAGGTAATATGAATAATGAATCCTCTAACTAATTTTGAAATTCCTTAATTAATGGTACATTAATGAGTTTTTATTTGCCTTCTGTATTACCTAAGGCTGCATTTGGAAACGGTGCAAATAGAGTGTAAATGCCAGTTCAGTGTTAATATGCACTCTGGTTCAGTTTTGCTAGTGTTCGGAAAGAATGCATTTCTGCATTGACAATGACAGAAAACACAATTTCCAAGACATGTTTACATTGAAAATGAGATGTTTTTTATATTCTAAAAAAAGAAGTAAATTTGCATTCAAAGTGGGCTTTTGTTAAGAAAAGGCATATTTACTTTATTGGGATTTGTGTTTACATCTCTATTACAACTAAAAGTTGTTTGGTAATGTAAATTTGTCAATGCAAAACTAACCCAACTTTGCATTTGTATGAACTGAAATGCACTATGTATATTTGCATTTACACTGTTCGCATCATTTCCAAATGCAGCCTAAAGGGAAATCAGTTTTACTGGATGATGCAGATGTTTTTCAGATCATTGTTTATTAATTTATTGTTTTTTCATTTTTACTTCATTCAATTAAATGTCCTTGCCTTATCTTATTCCTCTTTCTGATAACTTTGAAGAGTGGTGTAAATTCAAGATGTCCTCATGGATTGTCTTGCTTTCCTATACTTCATTCACAAGATTTCACCTTTGAACTTTCCTTTCTAATCTTTACATAGTCCATTCATGCTCTTCTCACGATCTGATTTTTTATTTCCTTTGCCCAGGTCTGTAGTTTCCCCAATTTTCTCATGACTATCATTAACATCAATTGGTTTCTTTGAAGCTATTTCTGTAGATTCCATTTTGCTTTGCATTTACTTTTTTCAAGTTTTTTTACATCTCTTGGAATATTCATTACTGAAGCTCATTCCATGTTAGGAATGTATACGGACATTTATCAAGGACAGTGGAGATGGAGATGAGCTTGTGCTACACGTTCAAGACCCCTTTCATAGATTGCTTTTACATGGCGTCTGTGAGGTAACTTTTCTGATGACCTGTAGCCAGGGGCATCTGTCACCATTGTGGTCACGAAGCATGACACGATGTCCTAGTGCTATTATATTCTGCTGATATATATGGAATTTTCTAAGATATTATTAGTATTGCTTTTGATTGCTATGATAACTGGATACTTGTATAAGGGTGCCATATCTTGTTGGGTACTTAAATTTTTAGTATAAATTCTGTATCCAACGCCTTGTCCAGCCTTGTCCTTTACTTTGAGCATACTGAAAACGTTTCATTCTAGTAGTTGAGACCTATGGTCGTGGTTTATTGAATCTGACATTGTCGAAACAGATTAGCTTGCTTAACACATTGAAGGTGATGGTTAGGGATTCGCTACTGGGTTGGTTTACTCAACCAAACAGTTGCAATTGCACATTTTGTACCTAACATTTTCCGTGGGGCTCATAAATGCTTTAGGAGCACCATACAAGCATCATTGTGCACACATTTTAATTATTAAGTAATTCATCCTCTGATGCTTTTATGCAACAGTTCTATGGCTTGGTCTCGGTGACTGCTACCAGATTAGAAGATGGAAACGCTTTGAAGATGACGAGGATTAAGAAGAAGAAATCTGGTTCTGTAGAGCTCCCGAACATCACTCTATCTCATTTCTTGAAAATGTCCAAGGCTGGAATCTGGTAACTGCGTTGCCCTTAGGATGGGGTGACCTTGTATTGTAAACTAAGATCATGCATTGATGTGTTTATTTGTTTTGGAAGCGAAAATACATTTCTGTTTCAGCCCACTTCGTATAGTACGTTGATGAGGCTATTCTGCATTGCTACCGAACCGAAAGGTACTGAATGCTGTTTTATCTAACCCTATGTTGGTTGTCCCTAGGTTCAAAAATAATTGAAACATTCATGGGGTCATGTCATACGAGATTGGAGGGTTTTCTAACGATGTGAGTGTTGGCTGGGCATTCTGCATATTTGTAGGTGATGTGGATTTAGCCAAATTTGGGTTGCTATCCCTCCTAAAAGTTGCTTTTGTGTTTTTGTGTAAATGCGAATCAACATAAAACTCTACCATCGATTTGCATGGACACGTGTTTATTTTCAGTGTAAAAGTGGATCAGTGTAAAACTTCACACCTTGTTCATTTTTTTTCGATGTTTGTTTCCAATGTAAAGTTTACACCGATGTAAACTATCTAATCAGCTGACTTTTCAATCGATAATCAATATACTCTAACGGTCGATGCAAATTTTAAATCTCAAACTGATTTTTTCATTGATTGACATTTACATTGATGATTTTTCCACTGAAATCAAATGCAGCCAAAAGGACCTCCTTTTCGGTACTCAATGTTCTTGGGGGTAGCCCATCATCTTCTCACTTCACGGGAGTAGTGTGTTGTGACTAGACATAGGCAGAGTTCTCTTGGGCAGGAGATCTAGAGTACCATAGAGCATGCCCACAAGCGCCTCATCTTCATATATAATAAATACATCTAATGTGCATTGGGAGAATTAAATCAAAAGCTGGCACCTTTCATCCTGCATGAGTCCACCCTTTTATGCATGCGGAGCTAATGGGACGGACGTTAGTTCGTCCTGTTAGCTCCAAAATTCGCACAAAAGCCAATGAAGAACGACTCTGTTCATCATTTTAATCAAGTTCGTACGTGAAATGTAAACCGGAGGGGCTTTGCCAAATTGTCGGGTTGAGCGGCAACTTGTTGCAATGGTGGGCGTGAGGTGGTGGTTCAATGGTAAAACAGGAAAAACAGGGGTTGGGGAGAACGAGAGAGAGAAACCTGGTATGAGGACATGTATGACGGTTCACGATAGAACTGCCATTTTATTTTTGATTATCAAATCCTCTTTCTTTGTTTTTTGAAAATGGGTTTCTCTGAATTTGTCAAAACAACCATTCTCTGAATTTATCAAATCTTGTTCATCTAAACTTCCCCAATCTGTGCTCCAAAGATAGAAAGCTAACAACTCTACAAGCCACAACCTATCTTTTAACTTATCACAATGGAGCTTTACTCGAAGAAGTCCCTGTTTCTATTCTTTGGTATAGTAAATTCACCCCAGCTTAAAAATCCATTGTTGCAGACTTTGAAACAACTGATGTAGGCGCACATGGCAGGCCCATGATGGTGACACGTGACATGGGCCGGATTGCATCTTGGCCATCCACTGCTAACAAACTCCTAGCAAGCTCAAGTATAAATAGGTGTCTCATTTATTATGTAAGCTATCTTGGCTTTTACTGTTCTAAGCTCCCTAACTCTCTTGTGACCTCGTCTGAGCTATCTTGCTTGCGGTCCTACATTGATTGCTTCAAGAAGAAAGAACTCGATGTTCGAGACATCAACCCCTTAGTCTCAATGCATGCAACAATCAATGACCTCCAATTGGGACCCCTCAAGTGGTCTATCACCAAGACACCGCCCAAGACCAAAGTGGAATTTTTGAAGAAGGCAGAAAAGTACATTGCTGCCGAGGAGGCCTCGGCCAGCGATGCCAGAAAGGCAAGGTCAACCCCAATCGAGGGGGGTTAGAGAAGAAGAGGAAGGATAGAAACAGTCATAGCCATGGCCACAACAACAAGGACTCCGACAAGAAGTCGCCGGYCCTGTCCTTCAATAAATATACACCACTCAACTCCACCCAAATGCAAATCATCATGCAAGTAGGGAAGGAGGCCTATATGAAGTGGTTGGTAAAGATGAAGAAGAACCACAAGAGGGGTAACCTAAAGAAGTATTGCAAGTACCACAGCAGCACCGACCATGGCACAGGGGATTGCTATGACCTCAAGGACGAGATTGAGTCCCTCATCCGTCATGGCCACTTGAAGGAGTCCTCACAACATCAGCAACAACATCACAACAACTTGGTTGGGGTCAAGGTTCAAAATATCGATACATCCGATATGCCGGTAGGGGCATATCGGGTGAATCGATACTATTTTTTTTTTACTTTTTTTATTTTTTTCTAAAACCGTTTCAGGGGGGCCGGTTTAGGGCTCCTCCACCCCTTGAATTGGTTAGACCCCCGATACACCCACTATAGGGGCATATCGGAGGGGTCCCAAAATGATACGTATCGGCCGATACGTGTCGATACTTTGAACTTTGGTCGAGGTCATCGGCATCATTGTGGGGGACACAACCTCAGGTGGAGCCTTGGCCTCCGCTCAAAAGGCTTACGCCAAGCAACTCAACGTCTAGGGCCGGATCCCAAGAAGACAAAGAAAGACGAGGCCATCTCCTTTTCGAATGACGACCTGAAGGGAGTCTCAGTCCCCCATGACGATGTGTTGGTGGTGTCGATGACGAACACCAATTTCATGGTGAAGAGGATCCTCAACGACAACAGATCATCAACCGACATCSTCTTCTACGATACTTTTGAGAAGATGAACCTGACTCCAGAGAGGCTACAACCAGCTGACGTGCCACTCGTCGGATTCTCTGGAATTGTTATTAAACCGGAGGGAAGAATCACCCTACTAGTCACGGTAGGAGTAGAGCCTCGGCAGGTGACGAGGATGACCGAGCTTTTGGTCATGAAGATAGGCTCCCCTTACAACGCCATCATTAGGAGGCCGGCCCTTCATGCACTCAAGGCGGCCATTTCCTCCTACCACCTCTCCTTGAAGTTCCCAATCGAGCATGATGTCAAAATCGTTCAAGGGGACCAACAAGCAGCCAAATAATGCTATATGGAAGTACTAAAGGACAAAAATAAAGAAGCTTTACCATTGGAAGGGCTCAATGCCTCGATCTCAGGGATGAACTAGCGAACCGAGGCCAGTCAACCGAGGACCTCATCTCAGTACCTGTAGACGAGGCCGAGCCCGAGAAGAGTGCGTTGGGTCCAACCTTCCTCCAGACACTCTTTCTGAACTGGTAAGCTTCCTCAAATCTAATGCCGACGCCTTTGCTTGGTCTGTCGCTGACATGCACGAAGTTAACCCTTCAATCATTACTTACAAGCTAAGCGTGAACCCGAGCTGTAGGCTAGTTCGACAAAAAATATGAACTTTGCACTAGAGCGTTGGAAAGCCATCAAAGTGGAGGTAGATAAGTTGTTTGACACCAGCTTCATCTGAGATGTACATTACCCTAATTGGTTGTCCAATGTGGTCATGGTAAAGAAGGTTAACAAGAATGGCGGATATGTATTGACTTTAGAGACCTCACCTAGCCTGTCCCAAAGACTACCTCATTGATGCCACCACAGGGTACGAGCTGTTGAGATTCATGGATGCCTTCTCCGGATACAACCAGATTAAGATGCACACCGAGGATGAGGAGAAGACCACATTCATCACTGAGCATGGCACGTACTTTTACAAGGTCATGCCCTTCGGCCTGAAGAATGCTGGTGCAATCTATCAATGGCTTGTGAACAAAGTCTTCAAGCACCAGATGGGAAGAAACGTTGAAGCCTATGTGGGCGACATGGTTGTGAAAATCTTGAAGGTTGACCAACACACCTCGAACCTAGTCGAGACCTTTGCTATACTGAGGAAGTACAACATGTGTCTTAACCCCATCAAATGTGCTTTTGGCGTCACCTCAGGCAAATTCTTGGGCTTTGTTGTCACACAGCGGTGTATTGAGGCTAACTCAGAGAAGATTCAAGCTATACTTGACATGGCACCACCTCAATCAATCAAGGAGTTGTAGAGACTCATTGGTCGAGTGGTTGCCTTCAACCAATTCATGTCGAAGTCGGCCGACTACTGCCTACCCTTCTTTCGAGCCATCAAAAAACTAAAGGACTTATAGTGGACTAAAGAGTGCCAACAAGCCTTTGATGAGATGAAGTCTTACCTCACCTCGCTCCCTCTGCACACTTGGCCGCTTCCGGGAGACACACCATTCCTATACCTCTCGTCCGGAGACAAGGTCGTCAGTTTTGTTCTGGTGAGAGAAGGAGGAGTGCAGAGACCTATCTACTATGTCAGTAATGTCCTCTGTAATGCCCAGAAAGGTACCCTAAAGTGGAGAAGTTGGCCTTCACCTTAGTGGTCTTGTCTAGAAAACCCATACCATATTTTCAAGCCCACAACATCATAGTCTTGACCAGCCAACCCCTCAAGTCAGTATTCTCCAAACCCGAGACCTCGGGTCGGCTGACCAAGTGGGCTATTGAGTTATCTGAGTTCGTTTGTAGTACCAACTGAGGCCTACAATCAAAGCGCAAGCCCTGGCTGATTTCTTAGTAGAGTGCACCTTCAGCAAAGCCCTCAGCTAGGCTCCCATAAAAGATGAGGGACCTCGTCCGACTTGGAAATTGTTTGTGGGTGGATCTTCCAATGCTAAGGGAAGTAGAGCAAGCCTCATACTCCTTACTCCAAATGGTAACAAGGTGGAGTACGCTCTGAGATTTGACTTCTCGGCGTTCAACAACTAAGCCGATTATGAGGCCTTGCTCGTCGGATTACAACTTGCCAAAGACCTCGAAGCCCAACACATTGAAGTCTTTATCGACTCTCAATTGGTGGTGAACCATGTAAATGGTGAGTACGAGGCCAGATAACCCAACATGGATAAGTACTTGGCCAAAGTACAAGAGCTAGCCCACCACTTTCAACGCTTCGCCTTGCTGCAAGTCCCATGGGCCAAGAACATGAGGGCAACACCCTATCCAAATTGGCAAGTACTTTGGGTCCAACCCTTGGCCACACTGTCTGTGTTGAGAATCCAATAGGACCTAGCATTGAAGAAGTTCAGGTGCTCCCTGTGCAAACCGAGCCCTGTTGGATGGATCTCATCCTTGCCTACCTATAGCATGAATGACTCCCCTCTGACAGAAATGAAGCAAGATGAGTCCGATGGCAGGCATCCCATTATGCTTTGATTRAAGGGAAACTGTACAAGAGTCTTTTACCTTACCCCACCTCCAATGCCTTCGCTAGGAGGAGGGTGAGTATGTGCTTCGAGAGATCCATGAAGGCATCTACGACAAYCACCTTGGAAGTAGAGACTTGGACCAAAAAGCACTAAGGCAAGGGTATTTTTGGCCGACCATACAAAATGATGCAGCCGAGCTAGTGGAGAAGTGTGACTGATGCTAGAGACACTCCAACATCTCCCATCGGCCAGCCACAACCCTCTTGGCTCTCA